TTTAATTAATTTCCTTTATTTTCCGAAACACACCCATTAACATGTAATTTGAGAAATGTAACTCAAGCTAAATAAAAAATGTAAATAAGTTTAATTTAAATATAACTTGAACGCAATGGAAATGTAAGTTGTTTTAATAGAGATGTAACTTGAGCCCAAATAAATGTATACTTGTTTATTAAATATACATACTCCATATGCTTGGTATAACAAATACAGTCGTAGATGCTATCTTTCAAAACAAAAAAAACAATTGTAGATGCGATTAAACGCAGGCAGTCTAAATGGAGGAGTTTTTCGCCGAGTGAACCTCGTCACCCGATCAGGGATGGATCCGGGTGAGAAAACAGGAGGTTAGGAGAACAACGGACAATTTCGATCTGAGATGGAACGATCATGGTCGAAAAGCTACTGTTTTAATGTGGATGCGGAGTAACAAGGAATTAGCTACTGTTCTGGCGCGGCGCTCCCAGATGCATAGCAATTACAGAGAGGGCGGAAACCCATTGTTTCGATTCGTAGCAGAAGCACAACAGTTCCAGATCGGAGCCAAGCAATTCCAGATGTGGAGCAATTCCAGATGCTGGCGGACTCCCCTAAACTAAATCGGTTAACTCTGTATTTTAGTGGTGCAAGACCTACAATTTGCTATTTATTTTAATTGAAAAACGATACCGTTTTGGGATCGGTACACCATGAGCATGGTGCGTCGATCCCACGGTATAATTTATCGATAGGGGGTATTTTACCTTGATTTATATCACATTCAAAAGTAACACTAAAAAATGTAATTAATCCTTGTCAACGATAGTTGTAGATAAATTGAAAATATGGAAGTACATATTCCTCGAATTTACATGATACAGTTTTGAGGAGACCGGTAGACTTATTTTAATGAGGATTGATTAGTCATAAGCCACTCAATTATGTGAAACATTTCTACAGGTGTCCCCAATATGGTTGGCGGATGAACGAGTTATTTGAAACATTTTAAAGTATGAGTTATTAATTAACGAGGCCGCAAATGCACAATTTTTTTTATTTTTAGATACTCATTTTGTACGTTACGTATGCTCATTCAGTAACGCTGTTATGCTCATTTTAAAATGTTATATCAATGCATATTTCAAGAGTAACATACTCCGATTACATTAGATTCACATATGAGTTGATTATAAACACGCGAGCACAAATCACGATTCTAGTACTCAATATCAGAGGTTCGATGCTCACTGAAAAATGTCTTGATGCTCAACTAACAAAACTTATAATTTTCATATCAATGCTCATTTTATAAGTTACATATGTTCATTTGGTACTCATGTTATGCTCGTTTTAAAATGTCATATAATGCATATTTCAAAAAGTATTATATCACATTAGATTCACATATTGAAATTCATAAGAATTGATTATAGATATAATTTAATAAATTTTTATAAAAGCGAAAAAAAAGTTAATTAAAAGTTATGAAACAGGTATCACGATGTTCAACATTAGACTCATAATACTCAACAAGAAAGATTTGATGCTCAATGAAAATGTCGTGAAATTTAACTAACAAACTGTTTAGGTATATTATCCCGGTCTGTTACTTTTCTGGAGCCCAAAGCATCGCCCCAGTACGGAGCCCAGCCGACGAGGACCGTTTCGGCCTATCAGGCCTGTTTCAGCCCTTTCGGCCCATCTCGGCCCACTCGTCCCATTAGGGTAGCCTTGCACCCTCCCCCTTCCTCTATAAATATAGAAGCTTTCCTTCCAGGATGGCGACCACCGTCTTATGCAGAGCGATTGGCCGCTCGTCGCCATCGTGTCTTGTTCATGTTTGGGATCACTATTTCTTTCTACGATGGGACCCATTGCTGTATATCACGCCTAACACACCCTATTTCATACATTGCACTCATACATTACATGCATCCACACATTCATGCATCATGTCTCATATATTCATACATACACGCATGCATTGTGTTCGTCTTATCCATATTTTTCGAGGCAGCTTGGTTCGGGTCTCTTAAGGTCCTCGGGTAGCAAACCCATGTTGTAGTCCTTTACTCCCGCCTGATACATTCAGGGGGAGATGGTTCGGGGAAGAGCGTCCCTTGCCCGATCCAGTCGGAAGGGGGAGCGTCTTACCAGCAGATTATGTTCAGAGGGGCAGACACCCACCCATGCAGTAGGATTGCTCAAAGACTCATGTCCAAGGAAGCCAAAGGAAGAGCGCGAGCAAGAATATACCTTCTCGAGCAGATTCACACACTCACTACTCAATAAACTGGGGGACTTGTGTTGAGGTATATTAACCCGGTCTGTTACTGTTTCGGAGCCCAAAGCATCGCCCTAGTACAGAGCCCAGCCGACGAGGGCCGTTTCGGCCTATCAGGCCTGTTTCAGCCCTTTGGGCCCATCTCAGCCCACTCGGCATATTTAGTCCACTTATCAGTCTCAGAATCAGTCTTTGCATTAAATTTTATATAAGGTTGGGTTTTTCATATCAGTCTTTGCATTAAATTTGGTTTTTCATACCTAAAATCTGCATTAAATTTGCCGGAATTTTGACCGGAAGGACGAGGGGTGGTGAGGGGATAATGGTCACGGACTAAATGTGGACAATTTGAAAGTAAGGGACTAAATGTGGAAGTGGTATAATAGTCATGGGATCAAAAGTGGAATTTTTTCTATTGGAATTCATAAGAGTGGATTATAGATATAATTTAATAAGTTTTTATAAAAGAAAAAATAAGAAAAAGAAAATGAATTAGAAGATATGAAGCAGAGATCATGTGATGCTCATTGTTAGGTTTTTAATACTCAATAAAATAGGTCAGATACTCACTAAAAGTAAATTAATGCTCATTTAGTGAAAGTCGCGATTTTTCTTTTAAATTACAAAAATGTCACCGCCTAAAAAAATGGACCGTAGATTGTGGACTGTATCATTTAAGAGAAAGTTCCCGAAATATGATTAAAACAATTTCAAAATTCCAAAATAGGACTGTCATGTTTTTTATTCTCAAAATAGGAATAATTACTGCCAGGTTTAGAAAATACTGACATGTTTGAACTCTAATTCTACCAAAACATGACAGTAATTAGTCTTATTTTGAGAATAAAAACATGACAGTCCTATTTTGGAATTTTCAAACTATTTTAGTCTTATTTCAGGTAATATCCCATCAATTAATGGTCCACTCTCTCCCTTAATTGGACTAGATGTACAATGAGACCGTACACCCGGATATAAAATATAGGAATCTCCAATTTTGTGTCTTTGAAGTAGAACTTTTTAAGAAAAAAAGAAATTGGGTGTAATTGAACCTCAACTTGTGAAACGAATGTTAAAAATATCGCTAGAAGGAGGGCTTGAACCTCCGACCTTGTGGTTAACAGCCACACGCTCTAACCAACTGAGCTATTCCAGCTGTTATCTTAATTAGTAATATTAACATTTAAATTCCATTACAACTATCGATTTTTATTATTCAATACTTTTGGTGTTTTGGTAAGCAACTTCCGTGTTGTCTCGTAATTTCTTCTAAGCGTGTGAACGAGGCATGCTGCTTCTGAATTGCTCGTGATTCAAATACATTACAATACTAGCAGGTAATAATTATATATATATTCATAAAAGTTGCAACAATTTGATTTTCACGTTTGCCAACGCGCGACTTTAACTGTAATTATATTTATTTACGTTTTAATAAACATTAAAAAAAGTTAATATATTGGAATTTACATTAATACAAATTTATTAATATTTTATACATAATATTTTTATTATATATATTATTAGAGAATCGTGGTCAAAGTAAGATGTGTGAATAGTGCAGAAATTCCAATGTTGTAACTTTTATGGAACGGAGGAAGTATATAGCAATGTGTATTACTAAATATTTTGAAGTCGCCTAAAATAAATCAATTCATGATATCGGAAAAAGATATGGTAAAGATAAATATAAACGAAAGATAATTGGACTTTTTAATTAAGCAAGTTTGCAATTAGACTAATTTTAGCATTAGATAAGATCAGAATAAATGGATCAGATCAAATAAGTTTAAATAAAAAGAGAATAAATTTAAACAGATCAGACTAAATAATTTCATTTCAATTAAACATATATTAACTTTCTGCCTTATCAATTAATTTTTCCATCAAATACGTAAATTTTGATTTCACGTGCTGAATTGTGTGATAATCAAAATAAGTAAGGTTGAGTTACTGTTGGGAATATTTTATGGTGTTCAATCTAGTTAGTTATCTTTGTATTTGTGTAGTTATTAATTAAACGTGTAATACGGGCCACAAATGTGTATCAGCCCGTGGGCTTCCTTGTAACCCGTAAGTTAGCCAACTTCTCCTATAAAAGGAGGCTAACTTACGGGAACCCAAAAACTATCGATAGAGGCTTAGAGTTCAGAGGCGTAAAGATAGAGAGAGATTAGGGTTGCCGCTGCTCTCCTTCTCCGGGGAGAGCAGCGGCCGGTTTTCATACGGTATACCAGATTCGCGTTCAATCTTGTCGATTTCTTCCTATCTGCTTCTTATTCTTCTTGTTATGATTGTTGTTTGTTAAATTATGGGATTAACAGTTACTTTTCTAACTTGATTGACCGAAGCTACTTTAGAGGATCATTTTAGTTGTTTTTCGAATATCTTTTTCTTTATCTCATTAACAAAATATATTTTGAATTTTTTTCCTCATAATTCATCAAACTCTACCAATTTGGCCACTTTAGCCAAAATTCATCAATCATAGCAGAATCAACTAATTCAACAATCTCGGTGTTACTAAACGACCTCTTTGACAGCAGTTAGTGGTCATGATTACGTTAACATATTTTGATAGCGGATTTAATCAGCAAATTTGACCAACATGTTGCAACTTAGTTATTTGGGCGTAGCAGATTATTAGAAGGTAAACAAATAGAATTGCACATATATTTCAAAGCATTTTTATTTGTAGTGTATCCGTTTTAACGATTTCATTCAAAAACACCAGGGACAAACCATTAGTTATCAAACAATTAGGATCGACATCTCCACTAATTAAAAACGCCAGAAAAGATCAAACTACTATTTTTTGACTGAAATGCCACTTTCCAAACACACCCTTCACATTTTTTTGCAACTCCATATGAATCAAAGGTAAAGGTGGTGGCAACTTGCATGTTGCAATAGACATCATCAGGATTGGAATAGTTCTAGGAATTGAACACAAATAAATAATTTCTGCATTATAACTATATATTTCAAATGCCTATATATCATATTTCAAATGCCTGCATCAAAGCACATTATTATCGGCCCTGCAATTCTCACCATTTATTCCTTCCAAAAGTGCAAAGCGCATGTCTTCAGATGGCCTCCAGTGCCTCTTCCTTTGGTTAATGAACCAGTTGTTTATCTGCTTTTGGTCCAACCCTGTCATCTCTGACAACTTGTTCTTCTCCTCTTCCTACATTTACACGGTTTAGCATCTACTTTTACCAGAAAAATAAGTTTTTGTCGTTAACTATTACATTAATTTACCAACCAATACGTACTATAGGTATGAAGTTATATAAAACTCTGGGTTATGTTATAACTTACGAGTCGTTTTTAGCAATTTCATAGAATATTTTTATACTTTCTTTTGAAAACGTAACTAGTGATAATATATACTCCGTTCTTTAAAAAATACTTTGAGCAGCACTATAGGCGGATCAGGAATTTGAATTAGATTGGGTTAAAAAAGTAATTATACTAGATTTAAACATTAGAAGGGTGAGCTAAATATGAAAAAAGAAAAAATGTACACTACAAAAAATGATAAAAATTAAGGTGCCATATATAGCCTATACGTAGATCCTCTGCTGTAGCACTAATTGCTACTTGAATATAACGAAAATAATATGCGGCACCTTGCATCCATTTTTGAAATTTCTCGAAAAAGACTTAAACAGGTTTTGAAAATCCAAAATAGTAGTGTTATATGCTACTCTTCTCAAAATAGGAATATCATGGTAGTAGTATGGGTTCATCTATGGTACCTTCTAAAATAAATAATGTACCGGTACATAAACATTTTTAGCCAATCACATTATAATATGAAGCCACGTTAGCATATGAGTCATATTAGTAGACCAATTTTTATTATTTGCATTTTAGTCCCTAATAAAAGAAGAGTTAACAAATGAAACACTCAAATGTTTGCCCACTCCTCACGTCATTCCCGTAAGATCCTCAAGAAGCCAGGCCGACGAAACCCAAAAACGTTGCTGATACAAAAGGGAATCATTTACTGGGTCCAGAAGTTTTACTTAAACATACCAATCAAACATCTGTCAAACAATAAAATCTAAGATTGGGACTTCCAGTTTATGAACAAGGTGCCGGCGACAGAAACGGTGAAAATATCTACTTTCTTATTTGGCTTTTGCTGCATCTTTTCATCTCTTTTTAACAAATAAGGCACCAACGAAGAGAAAGGTGGAAAGATCTAGGGCTGGGACCGTTTCTTAGGAGTCGAACCAATCTCTTTACTTGTTAACTTCTTTACTAGGGACTAAAATGAAAATAATAAAACTGATTCCTAGGTTGTTAACGTGGCCTAATATTACAATGTGATGGGCTAAATATTTTGGGTACCCGTACACTACTTATTTATGAAGGTTCGGTAGAAATTTCCGTAGTAGTATATGTTGTCATCTTATAGTCATTATTGTCAAATAGTTGTAATACTTACTAAGCATTCGACATTACATTATTTATTATTATTAATTGTTTAATCATAGCAGTAACGACTCTGTTTCGGGAAGAAAAACTTATCAGTCATATTTTGGAACTCAAAAATTCGTTAATTCCTATATAGAGTAATTTCCCTTTATTTAACCCACTAGAAACGGATACTAGGCAATAAACTGGGAGGTTTTTCCTATAATATTACTAATAAAAAATTTTATGAACGAAATTGTGACTATAGGTTGCAGTGTGTAAGGTTTATAGTCACTATGATGTAACATTTGAATACAATTATAGTTTTTTTGAAAGATAATACAATTATAGTTACTAAAGTTACTAGAGTCACATTTTTGTCCATTACTTTTAATTTGTTTATATATTTGGAATTATTCCCTTCTATTTAGGGTTGAAAAAATATGGCATTTGTATTTTAGAATTGAGAATTCTAAAACATTCTTAAAAAAATCTCATAAATACGGAGTATATAAGTAGAGTCAATAGAAATAGGGTGTAATTCTTTTTTTTTTACTCCAGTGGGCGTCTGGAAGAGGAAGACTGGGGGAGCTTGGAGTAATCTTGGTTGAAACCCACTCCATTGAGTTTCGAACCTGAGACCTCCCGTAAGGAAGAGTGAGTCGACGACCAGCTCAGCTGGACCGCTTCCTCAGAGATAAGATGTAATTCATAAGAATAATCTCTGCTTTTAGAGATTCTACAATAATAATTCCTACTCAGAGTTTTCACAAAAATAATCTGAACTAGCAATGGTGTTCATAAGAATAAATTGAGGTGAATTAAATTTAATGCCCGTTTAATACTCTCAATCTTTACTTTCATATTTCTCCTCCCCACTATTGTTCTCGGGGAAAATTCAAACTAAAAACCGTTTAATATCAACACCGTTTCCGCCATGTATATGGTTGTCTCTAGGTTTGAACATAAAAGTGTTAACCAAGGCGGAGAGTGATGAATGAGAGTGGATGTAGAGATTGAGAGTATTAAATGGGCATTAGCTTGAATAAAAGTGTTAACCAAGTTGGAGTGTAGACACTATTGCTGATGTGGATTATTTTTATGGAGGTTCTCAGTAAGAATTATTACTATATAATGTATAAAAGTAGAGATTATTTTTGTAAATTTCGCTTAGAAATAATAACTTCAATTAGTTACCGTAGGGTAGGGCCACCTATAGTGGGAGGTCCACCAGTGGAGCAGAGCAACCCTGGCATCTTTTGGGAGCTTTCCTTTCTTCCTCTTCTTCAAGAAATCCTTCCTCAAACTGCTAAGGTATCCGCTGTACTTCCGCATCAGCGTTTCTTTAATCTGCTGCTCTCCCTCCCCTTTGTTCAGAGACGACGGCCACGCCTCCATTTCACTCTCTCCCACTTCCATTTCTCCGCAACTTATTACCTCGTCTTCTGATGTCCCGCCTCCTTCATCTGACAATCATAACCATTGTTTTTCTCAATTATTTATGTGGAATTAAATAAAAGTGAATTGTGAATTGTACTCTCTCCGATTCTTAATTAAGTTTCTGGTTTGACTTCACGCATATTAAGATAATAAATTTATTGAGAAGTAAATTTTACTATATAGTACACTGTTTTGCACTGTTTGGACACTATTTTGCACTGTTTTGACATTGTTTTGCACTATTCGGTGTAGATTTGTTTGTCAAATAAAGAAGTGTGAACTTGTTTGAGACATGCAAAAAAGGAAGTAAGAATTTAGCAAATATTTAATTTGCTACAAGCATAGTATATACGGAGTATTACGCAGGAATGTAGGATAAAATCTTAGGTGATACTCCGTATTACTCCGAACCGGATCGGTATGGTACCGGACCGGAAAATGGGATTTCAAACGGTTCTACAAAAATTTTTCCCGAACCGGACCGGACCGATTCCAAACCATGCCATGACCGGTTCTCATAAAATGAGAACCGGTACCGGACCGAACCAAACCGAATTATAATTTTATTCATTTATATAATTTGATTACTCATTTGCACTTTGCTAATTGCTAGTTAACCCGATCGGTAAAAATGAATAGTATTATATGAAATTCATTAACTATGTTATTGCTAGCTATTTATGTTTTGTACTAATAATAGTTTATAAGAAATTCATTAATTATGTAATACTACCTTTATCCCAAAAAACTTTCCATTTTCAAATCTTTGACCAATTATATTTTTTTATTGAGAATTATTTATAATATAAAAATTATATGAAAATGTTCTTTGTTAAAAATACTTTCATAAAAGTATAAAATTTAATTTATAACTTCCATAATACTATACTAATCAAAATCATGGTTCAAATTTTTTGAAATGACAAAGTTTTATAGGACGGAGGTAGTATGAAAATTGATAATTGTGTGGATTTTTGGATGATGACTAAGTTTTAATTTATCGAAAAAAGTAGCATTGTTTGGCATTGGAATGTCATGGTACCGGACCGTTTGAAAATGGTACCGAACCGAACGGGTTTAGGTCTAAGACCGAACCGAACCGAACCGTTTCAATAGTAACTGTTCGGGTACGAATTCGGTAAAATATTGGACCGGACCGGATCGCGCCCAACCCTAGTAGCTAGACAATTGTTACTAAGAAATATCCTAAAGACAAACTTATTGAGGTGGATCAATAATAAAAAGACTAACTAATTAAAATCGTTTATGAATATGAATTTATCGCTTGAAAGAAGGAAAGTACTATGTACTATTTTTCACAAAATTTGAAAAAAAAAACAATATTTCAGAATACTTTCCTAGGTTCTGTAAATGTCTTGTGTTCTACAATGTACATGTTTATTTGTCCAATTTACTACATTCGTCCAATTTAAAGTTTTACATTTTCCTTTTTGGAATGTCTCATTTACTCCCTTACGTTTCTTTTTAGACAATTTTTTTACATTAAATGTCATAACTACCTTTCACTACTCACTCACTCTTTACATTTGAGTGGATAACATTAATTCCTTCAAAAAGTTAAAAAGACATGCAAGACATCTGTTCTTCTATTAATTGAGCTCCTAACATACTGTGGCAAAAGAAAACATCAAGTTCTATCCGGGACAGAGGGAGTATATCCTTCACTCAGACACTACCAAAATATATGTCTAACTTAGTAAAGTATTTGGAAGACAAGGGTCCGATGGTTGGGTAACACTGAAATGGGTTGAATCGGCTGATTGTGCTGAAATTTATGAAGTTCTGGCTAAAGTAACTGGATTGGCTGATTTTGCTGATTTATGAAAAAATTATATTTAAAATATTAATCTTATTAATAAAATAAAGAAAAAAATATCTAAAAATAGCTAAAATGATCTTTTACAGTAATTCAGCCAATTCAGCTAGAAAATTAACTTCAACCTTAGTTATTTTGATTATTATATTATACAATTCAACGCGCGAAATCAAAAGTTTCATGTTTGTTGACAAGGTATGCTACTAAGGTTGAAAGGCCGAAAAACATAATCAACAAACGAACTCTAAGCAAGACTAAAGACTCGGAATGGGGCATTGTTGTTTTAATTTTCACAGGTTCAATACAAAAGATTACATATTCCCTCCCTCCGATTAAAAGGTTTTCGATTTAAGAAGTTTGATCGATGATAAAGTCAACTCATCTCTGTAAATGCCAGATTAGTTTTAGCAAATAAAAGTTACATAAAGTACGTTAATATATTTACAGAATAATAAAAAATTCAAATATGACTAAGGTTGGATATAGTCTGTACAAAAAAGGAATGAAAAATTATTTGAATTGATCGACCACATAATAGTAATATGGTCCTCTTTCTTTTCCAAATTGATTTGCAAAATAAACATTTTTTGGTCAAACAATATTAAAGTTAAATCTTTCATATTGATAATTAATTTAATTTTTAAAAATTAAAATTTGTATATTCAAAAATTACATCAAAATCTCTTTAAATTTTCAAACTCCAAATTAGAATATAATTATAAATTGATATCTTAATTAAGTGAATAAAATGAAACAGTGACAAAAAAATCATTTTGCAAATCAATTTCAGATGGAGGTAATACTTATCGTAATGCAAAAAAAGGAATTTTACTAATCAATTTAATTTAATTTAGTGCACCTGCACGGGTAGCTCAGTTGGTTCAGTGGTGGGAAATTTGGACCAAGTGACCAAGGTTCGAAACCCGCAACGGTCGTGTGGAGGTCACAGAACCTGAAATAAGGCTGAGTCTCTGATGCGCACGGGAAAAAGGTCTACCATCATTGGGCCGACTGAGTCACCGTGATTAACATCCTCCCAAAAATCCTGTCAAGTCGGGGTATGGGGGGCAGGGGCGGATCTAGCATTTGATTTGAGGCGGGGCAAAAATTTAATTAAATAAAGTACTTACAAAAAATGTCAAAATGACGAAATGTGATTAAATAATATTTGAGAAAGGTCAGAGAAAAAAATATTACGAACAGACAATTTAATTATCTTAAAGTCATAGATACTGAATCGAAATTGACTCGATTACTGAAATGTTCAGCACCAATTTTCAGATTAATTTTTTGGAAATCAAATTTCTTTTGAATCTATATTCTATACTTTGTAGACAAAAATGAACTACTTAAATTTCACCAACAAAGAACAATGAATTAAACTTATTAACTTTTCAGGACAATATTCAAAAGCCAAATGAATTAAACTAATTAATTTTCAGGCTAATATTCAAAAGCCCAATGAATTCTACTAATTAATTTATCAGGCCAATAATCAAAAGTCCAATGAAATGAACTCATTAATTTTTCGGGCCAATATTCAAAAGCCCGACTAATAAGAATCACCACTTGGTCCCTTCTTCCGTGTGACACAAAGATAATTTGCAAAGAAAAAATTAATATTTAAAACATCAGCCAAAAAGAAATCTTATTGTTGCTCTGAAAAATTCAAATGGTCTCCGGGAAAACTATCAAATAAGCCCTCGTACTATACCGAAAAAGTCAATTAGACCCTCGTACTTTACAAACACTCAATTAAGTCTTCGAACTATTAAAAAACGTTCAATTAAGCTCTTTCGGTCGGTAAGTAACCGGTTTCCCGGTTAAATGTAACATGTTTCCCGGAAGCCGCCGTTGCTGGGATTTGAGCATACGGGGAAATCGGTTACATACCCACCAAAAGGGCTTAATTGAACGTTTTTTAATAGTTCGAGAACTTAATTGAGTGTTTGTAAAGTACGAGAGCCTAATCGATTTTTTCGATATAGTACAGAGGTTTATTTGATAGTTTTCCCAATGATCTCCCCAAGATTAGAACCGAGCACCTAGTAATGCACTACATGCTCAATACACTTCCACCACGCTAACCTAAATTCTGTTTACAATTCGATGTTTGTTATTATTATAGCGTAACTACATAAACACTACGTAGTAGTCCAGCCTTACGTTTTAATATATTTAGATATATACTCCCTCCGTCCCTTATAACTTTGCCAACTTTCCTTTTTTGGATGTCCCACTAACTTTGCCACTTTCCCTTTTAAGTAAAAAATTTGTGGTTTCATTTCATTCTCTCTCCTCTGCACAAACCTCAATCACACAGTTTTTACTTTATTATTTTCTGTGCCGGTCAAACATGGCAAAGTTATTATGGACGGAGGGAGTAATATATACTGATAATTATTTTTTGAGCATAGGCCTAGGCCCTACATGCCCTATACCAGATCCGCCCTTGATGGGAGCTCGTGAGGTGGGAGATTACACCCTTTGGATCAAATTTAATTTAGTGCAAATTAATATTCGTGCAAAAAAGTCTGACATGATCGACAGTCCGATGGTAAAGTTCACTTATCATTAAACCCGAAACTTTGTGCAATAATTTACTACAGTAGAATATAATCACCTCGCATAAAAGTCAAACTGGGATTTAATACTTATTGACATGCTTCATTTAAGTTTGTCACGAGTTGTTTAGTAAAGTCAAATGAACATGTATATATGTGCATTATACACTACAAATTAAATAACAGGCGGTCATTAAATCTACGTACATTTCAATAAATGTTTATTATATACTACCTTCAATTCATTCTTCAATAGTTGGACAATTTGAATATGATAGCATTTCATTTATTAATTTACTGCTCCCTCCGTCCCGAATTGAATTGCAAACTTTGATCGACACAAGGATTAAAAAATGACAATAAATGATCTTATCTTTTACAATTTTGTCCATCTTTCTAACAATAGATGTCTTTAAATTAACGGGGAAAAAGTAAAAGTAAGGGTAAATTTGTCACTTTATTCTTATTTACATACCAAAAATAAAGTGGAAAACCATTTTGGGACAACAAAAATAGGAAATTTTGCAAATCAAATTGGGACGGAGGGAGTAATTAAAAATATTTCTCTTGTATAAAATTTGGTTTAGTCTAATTTCAAAATATGAATTAAGCATTGTGATGATCCAAAGTGTGCATGCACAAATTTAAATGATAAACTTCTGCAATTAAACAAGAAAAAGACAGTAAAAAATATGTTGACAATATATTGATAAACTTTAACCCAAAAAATAGTGAATATTAATCATTATGAAACCCTCCCAACTAAATTTATGAAGTTCTGGTTGAAATGGTTGTATTGGCTTATTCTGCTGATTTATGAATAAATTATAATTAAAATATATGAAGAAATAGCTAAAATAGTCATCTGATCTACAGTAACTTCAGCTAATACAGCCAGAAGAGTAACTCCAGCCTTACTTTTTCTTATTATTGCATAATTCAGCGCGCGAAATCAAAAGTTAAGTGTTTGGTTAAAAAGTTGACCGATAAGCATGATATTAATTCCGCCAGAAGACCTCCCTCATTTTTTCCCTTCGAACGTTGCTATTAGTAACAGCATTTGCTGATTTTATGACCAATTGACCATACAAAGGGCAGTGGCATTGAGCGAAATTGGTCAGAAAAAACTATTTTGTTCAAACCTTTCATTATGTGCACTTTGTGTAGCCGGGAAGTTATGGTGGGCCAATCTGTACTGATTAGGGTTTGTCACTTGCATTTAGAGAAATACTTTAAGGCGTTGGAACTTGGGACCTTTTGATAGCATGCACTTCCCAGACCGGCCCCCCGAATATTGTCAGCTTTTTATAATAAAACATCTTATGTTGACAATGATAATTTTAGACGGTCTGTGTTTGAAAATTAGAATGTTAATTGAATTATTTGAAAAGTATTTTCAGGTATCTTACATTTCAATGGTATGAATGTATGATTATAACACTTCCAAAAAAGAATGTCACAAGTTTGAATTCCGTTCTAATTTTAAAATGTTGAATGTCACTCCTAATTTGTCTCGTTTTATCTTTTTCATATGTTTCATTCTCGTACCATATTTGCTAATATTTGGATGGTTACAATTCATTCTTACTTTATTCACACTTTATCAATTCAATATCAATCATACAATTTCATTTTTTCTTAAATATTGTGTCACACAATCTTGTCTCAAACATAGTGGGACAGAGGTAGTAAGCATATACTCCCTCCGTCCCACAAAAAACTTCTCGCTTTCCTTTTTTAGCAGTCCCAAAAAGAAGTTTCCATTTCCCTAAATGGGAAGTTATCTACATCAAAACAATGCCAAACAGTGCAAAACACTACCAAATAGTGACGAAACGGTGTCAAAACAGTAAAATTTACCCTCTGGTAAGTTTATTTCCTTAATTTGTGTGTAGGTCAAACCGGGAAGTTCTACGTGGGACGGAGGGAGTATCAGGTGCTATAGTAAATTCCGTTCTAGAACAATATCACATATTTATCTGTTTCTTAAAAGTTGTGATTTAACAAAATTAAGGACTTAGCGTGATAGAGACGAGCTGTTCTCTTCTTTACCTCCTTTCGATCTAGGAAAATTACCCAAAATATGAGTAAATGACACTTAGAATTCCAAAAATATGACTAGTATGTTTTTCTTCTCGAAATAAAAGTTATTACTGTCATGTATGAAAAACTGTCATGATTGAAAAATACTGTCATTAATTATAATAAATACTGTCATGTTAAATGCACTGTACTGCAACGATTTGGCAGTCACGGTTACAAGATGACAGTAAATATTGTCATGTTAGTCTCATTTCAGGAATAAAAACAAAGTAGTCCTATTTTGGAATTTCAAACTTCATTTACTTCTATTTTGGGAAATTCCCCTTCGATCTATTTTTGTTCCAGTCATAGATATATACTTTTTGATCGGGTTTTTTAGTTTATTGCGTATGCTCATTCCTAATATTGTCCAGAGATTTTATATTCAGTGGTAGAATATAATAAGATTGATCCGGTGTTCTTGTCTGTTAATAAGATTGAGGTTTGTACAGTTTCTCCATCTATTAATCATGAACCAGGTTTTAATTTCTTTGGCATCAATACCAAGGCCAAACGCACCCCTCCTATTCTCCTAAACCACCCTCTTGCTAGGAGATGGAATCATATTAATTGATTTCATTCAGGTTACAGGTTAATTATACACTTGATTCCTTAGGGCATTCCCATTCATAGATTAATTTTGGGATCATTTTGATGACGTGGAGGATTTTTTTGGGATCATGGATGAGGAGTTGAGATTGTTTTATGAGATTATTTGATAAAATAATTTGGTATCAAGTTCTAAAGCTGGATTATTTTGAGATTATTCACAACTTTTAGGCTTCTCTTCTCATTTTCTAGGCAACTAATAATAACTAACTTTGTAAAAAAATCTAGGTAAGTTAAGATCATTGATGCGGAGAAATTGATAGGTTTGGAGACTATTTGAGATTATCTTATGTGGAAGTGACATAACAATAAGAAGTCATAAAAAACCGTAAACTTGAGTATTTGATATGCTCTCCAAAAAATGATATGGCATGTTAGTTATTAACCAGGTGTATTTTCTTGAAAAAAGACTTTAATAGTAACACATGTATTATTTTCTGACTTTCAATAGACAAATGGAGGATTCCTATGTGTGTGTATGTAATCTAGACAAAAAGGAATACATTTGAAATGAATGTACTCCTTTCGTCCCATAAAAATAGTTCCCGGATTGACTTGAATCATAGTTTAAGAAAGTGAGAACAAAGTGAAAATATATGATTGTGCTTGAGTAAGAAAAAAGTAAATGAATGTGAGTCACACAAAATTTTTTAAAAAGAGAAATGAGAACTATTATTTGGAACGGCCTAAAAAGTAAACCGAGAACTATTTTGCAGGACGGAGATGAGACTACTAAATACCCTTGAACAAACCAAGCCTAATATTTAACATTTACCCTCGAATCCCTTGCCTCAGGCCACCGTCTATCTTCTCTCAAGCCCTTGCTTCGCTGCTCAACCAGAACCACGACCCCTATAGCTAATGTCACACCGCTACCCAATTGCAACCCTAGCTCGCCGTATTTAGCACATGGCACGATCAACCCAAAAAATCCCCATCCGCACCTTCCTTTAATTCTTTTAAATATACTACCTCTATCCCGATAGACTTTGACAAGTGCAAAGTAGGTGAGAAATAAGAATAGTAAAATTGTGTGGTTGATATTTGTGCAGGGGAGAGAGAAATGTGCAGAACCACTAATTAGTTGCTTTAATAGGTAAGTGGCAAATTTTTTTGGGACAATCAAAAAATGAAAATTGGCAAAGTCCAATGGGACAGAGGGAGTAATTTTTTACTCCCTCCGTTCCTAAAAATTCTTCCCGGTTTGACTTGGCACGCTTATTAAGAAAGTGGAATAAAGTGGAAATATATGGTTGTGGTTGTGTAAGAAAAAGGTAAAATGAATGTGAGCCACACAAATTGTACAAAATTGGAAAGTGAGAAGTATTTTTGGGAACAACCCAAAAAGGAAAATGGGAAGTATTTTTGGGAACGGAAGGAGTAATAATTTAGTATATTCAGTAAATTCTATTTCAACTAAAAATTCATTAATTTAACCAGATTCAATCTATTTGATCAATTTCAATATTAAAAAGGGCCTAAAAACAATTCAAAGAAAATAAGGAACTTAAAAAGGAGTGGGAGTAATAATTACCACAAGAGTGATAGATGTTGAAGGTGGTGGTGGTTGGTAAGGTATCTTTGCAGAGGCTGTTGAGCTGTGACTCTATGCCACTCAAGAAAGTCTTAGCTTCATCAAAGGGCTTTGACAACTCTTCTTTATATTTGTACATAAGTTCACAGTAAGATTCCTTGAAACCCCCAAATTAAATAAATCATCATTAAAATAAGAAGAAAAACTGCCAGGCTAACTTTAAAAAATATCATTGTTTATTACCATGAATTCATCAAGTTCAGGATTTGCAGTGATAATCTCATCAGCTGTTGTGGTAGTGGCGGTAGGGTGAGGGCTGATCTCTTCAAGAATTGAAGCCATTTCTGGTGGTGCTGCTACCTTCACATAAGAAGATACATAATACTCCTTATGAAAATGATATAAAAACATTTTTTGTTAAAAGTATCCTCATTAAATATATAAAATTTATAAATTTCACAAAAAATATACATCGTATTTGTGAGGAAGCGGTTCAGTCTAGCTGGTCGTCAACGCACTCCCCCTTACGGGAGGTCTTGGGTTCGAAATTTAATGCAGTGAGTTTCAGCCTATGTTATTCCAGACTCCCCCAGCCCCTCCCCAGACGCCCCGGAGTATAACTTATTCACCTCAAAGGTCATTATATATTTTTTGTGTGGAAGTTCCCACTAGAATATAATGTTTTTTCCCATGCAAATGTGCAAATAGTACATTTTGGGTTCATAACTAAGCCCATTCCTCTTATATATACTGCACTTTGTATTTATTATTCATAACAAAGCATATTCCTCTTATCTGTTTTTTGACCTCTTATTTAGATTTAATCCAGTACACCATTTTCATCCTCAATTCTCTATTAAGATTTCAATCTCTTGTATTTAGCGTGCACATATTTATACGGCGTGTTGGTAAGGATGACACGGGTAAGTTCTGGTCTAGTTCAAGTTCGCAGAGTAAATAATCTTAAGTAAAACTGAGTTAACTAGTGACGGTTTTGGATCCCGTACACCCCCGAGCCCGAATGCCCGATTATCATCCTATTATGGATGGTCCTAAATATACTTCTGAGTACTTAAAATGAAAAACAGAATTGAATCAAGATTAAAAAACAAATTCGGACTTTCGGCCAATGTATATATTAGACCTGAATTCTGGTTAATTAGAATTGGTTCTGATCATAGACTGGAATTAGTTCACTCCTACACTGGTTCTGATCATAGACTGGAATTCTGGTTTACATACATATACCATGTGAAATAAAAGAATAGAAAAAAAAATAGAAGCACCAGATCAGAAGCATATAAACTGTGAGTGGGAACTATTGGACATTTGAAATTAATTAATGAGCCAAGTGAGGAAGAGATTGACTACCTTTCTGCACTGAATATAAGCTGATACTAAGTTGGGATAAAGAGGATGATTAGCAATCTGTGCCTTTACATCATCTGACATCATCATCTCATCATCTCCTCCTCCACCACCACTACCTCCTTGGCCAACCAGAAGATGGTGTTGACTTTGTAGATCCTCACCATAGCTGTTGATCATACTACTCCTATGGTGGTGATCATTTCCATCAGTTTCAAGACAAAAGACATTATTGTTGGATGAGGGAGCATATGAAGTTGATGATGATGATGGAGCAAGCACTGAGTGAATCCCGTACAGCTCATCCATCATATCTTTCTGTGCACCACCTATACGGCCAGACCAGGTATGATATTATGGACCCCCAGAAATACCCACCGAGCCTTAAACCTAATCAAGTCAACTATATATAATACTTACCTTGTTATTAATTATTTTTTTCTTGTTTTAGGTTTTGGAGTAAAAGTGATAGGTTTTGGAGCATTTCTTGAATTTTTTCTTGTGGGGAGGAAGAAAGGAAAGAGTGGGGAAGATAGGAGACAACAGTAGGAAATGGATGGACGGGGGACAGCAAGAGTGGGGAGGAGGCGACTCTACTGTGATCTGAAGACAGCATGACGTGGGAGAGAGTAAGGTTAGGCACATACATAGCCGGCTTCGTTCGGTTCTCATCGCACGTTCTGGCACTGTAATATATTTAGGTGTGGACAATTACGTAGACAGTGATCTCATGTGTACTTTGGCGTTAAATGGTAAAAGTTTCTCAACTATGGTCTGGTCAATATATGACTATAGGTTTAGTTTCTCTGATTGTGTTCTTGCTATTGATGGTCCGATTGAGGTTTATTTACCATATTTGATGGATGATAAAGCAAATGAATTCATGTCCACACTCAAATTGTTTTAGCAAAAAAATACATATTCAGAAACTACATCAAAAGTTTTACAAATTAGCAAAAAGAAAAATCAAATTCGATAACAGTTTGATATATAAAGTAACAGATTAAGAGGTCGTTTGATAACACTGCTTTTCGACTTACCAGACGGATCGGCCAACTTTTTTACCAAAGTCTTAACTTTTGTTTTCATGTGCTGAATTATGTAATAACAAGAAAAAGTAAGGTTGGAGTTAATTTTCTGGCTGTATTGGCTGAAGTTACTGTAGATGACCATTTTAGTTATTTTTATATATAATTTTTTCTTTATTTATTAATAAAATATATTTTAAAAATATTTTTTTCTTAAATCAGCAAGATCAGCCAATGCAGCCACTTCAACCAGAACTTCATAAGTTCCAGCAGAATCAACTGATTTTCGTGTTACCAAACGGGCTTTAAGAGTTATTTGTGTTGACCAAATGAATAAAAACGTGATGATCAAATTAGGACGGAGGTAGTATTACATTTCAGAATACTTTTATACAGTATAGTGTCATTTGAGGAGGAGGAGGAGGAGGAGGAGGGAGAGGAAGACGAGTGACGTGCACTTTGTCGTGGTGTGCACTCAAAATAAATATCAATACAACAATTATACGTAGTATAATGAAGTAAGGTTTGTATCCACATGGAAAGAAATACTTCTCTTTTAATTAAATAATAACAAGCTAAGGAAGGGTTTTAGATTGTTTTTGGAACTTTAAAAATATTTAAACACTAAGATGAACGACTTATGTGTTTCACTTAATTGAGCTAAGGACTTGGTTTTTCTTTTATCCACTTAATGAAATATTCATCGATCCCGATTATATCTTTAACTATCTTCCTCTAGAATACTCAATCGAGGAGTATCTTCATTTCATCGAGGGTAGTTATGAATAACGAGACGCGTTCATTAATAAAACTTACTACCGAGTCAATATAGAACACACGCCGTATATTAACCCGATAGTAGCAATAAACTTAAGATGAAAACGATTGAGATTGATAACCTCAACACAAGCGGTTTATTGGTTTAATCAATATAATTAATTTCCCTTAGATTATTAACCATGAGACGCATGCATTAATAATCCAAGTTTACTACCGTTGAAAGAACCGAATTAATAACAAGCGCATTAATCGATTGATTCTAGTAATAATTAATATATGAAACAAAACTAGTTGATCCTTTAAGTAATGCTCAAAATATTAATATGACATATGAATAGGAATTAATTAATATTCCAAGTTTACTACCGTTGAAAGAACCGAATTAATAACAAGCGCATTAATCGATTGATTCTAGTAATAATTAATATATGAAACAAAACTAGTTGATACTTTAAGTAATGCTCAAAATATTAATATGACATATGAATAGGAATTAATTAAAATTCAAGGAAGAAGATTAACGAAAATAAACTCTACTATAATTAATGTCGAGATGTTAACTAATTGTCATCTTAGCAACACTCTCCAACATTTATATAGAGATAGATTAAGGGAAATATTCAAGGAAGAAGATTAAAAAAAATAACTCACAACTTACAATTCATTAAGCTTCAAAGTAGCAAAACCAAGATGGAAGAGTTTAGCTCTTCATTTGGAGACTAAACATGATGAAAATATAAAGAAAGAACTTATCTAGACTGATCTTAGAAGTATATGTGAATTGGTGATTTTATTGTGAAGGAAAGGGGTGTATTTACAGGCTTTTGGAAGCTGCGGGGTCTGATACCCGATCGGATATATAGGATACCCGATCGGTTATCTTAGGAAATTTCCTAGAAATTCACTTTTCTGGGCATACCCGGTCGCGTATGTCGGCAACCCGATCGGGTATGTGATAAATCTTTATGAAATCTTCATCCCACGATCATTTGTTCCCGGATTTGATTTGGACAATCGAATCAAGCAAATACCTGATCGGGTATTGCCTATACCCGACCGGGTATAAGAGTATTTTATCCAAATCGAAATCTTTCTTGCCTCCTTGCACTTTCCTTGATCTTTTGAGGTCCAATCTTGATCCCTTGGATGATCTTTGACCTGTTTAGCTCGGAATAGTCCTAATCTAAACAATTTACAAATAATTATGAAAATAAAGTATTACACTAAAAGTGTGTAATTTCCACAACTAGAACTAATAAAAACTAGTTAAAATTACAAATATAAACAATAACAATTATATACTATCAAGGAGGGTGGGTTATCGACCAAGGTAGGATCAGATAGATGAGGTTATAACGTCTCACCTTATTTGTGATTTTCGATTAGATCACATTTGGAAGCTCGAGGGTCGACTATGCTAAAGGGTTGGCAAAGAGCACATGACCTCAATGATGTTTTAAATTCAGCTCGATGTTTGAGGACCGACAGATGGCCGAAACCAGAAGAGGGTTTACTAAAGATAAATGTGGATGGTGAACTGGATGGTTGGAGAGGAGTTCGAGCAAGGGGTTGGATAGTTTGGGATGAAGAAGGGAAGATTATAGAAAGAGGAAGGGAAAGTTTTATGGCTAACCGATCTCTAGAGGAAACAGAAGCTTTGGGTGTTCGTAGAGGTATTTAGTGGGCAATGGAAACAGGTTTGACTCGAGTTGAGGTTGAAAGAGATGCACGTATGTAGGCATGTCAAAAAACTGGCCCGTAGAGACCCGCCCTGCCCCGAGGCATTTGAGGCGGGTTCGGCCCGCCCTGTCTTGCAGATGGGGTGGGTCCCGGTATTAGTATTGACCGGTGCCGCCCCAAATCGCCCGCCCCGACCCGCTCAATATATAAATGTATTTTCTTTTTAAAATTATACATAGTATACTACAAATACGCACACACATGTGAATAATAATTCATGAATTTCTTGTTCTTTTAATATATTAATGTTTACATTTTGAACTAGATAAAAAGTTAATTATCAATGGGTTTTTTATATTTAGCCTTTATATATTCACATTTTCATAACGAAATAGTTAATTATTCAAGTCTAAATTCTTTTTCTTAATTTCTCAAACTTTTTATTGAATTGTGACATTGATTTGTTATATTTGTTTTTAGAATTATTTGAAGATAAACTTTATGTAAAATTTAAAGTTATCACGACTTCACGCAACTAGGAATATGTACTACATATTAGGTTACTGCATGGTGGATTGGGCGGACCCGCCCCTCATGGGGCGGGTAATGGGCCAACATCTAATCATCTGTGCGGGTCACGGGGCGGGGCGGGTCCACCTAATGATCTCACGAGGTGGGTCCGGGTCCTGCACTACCCGTCCTGACCCATTTCCATGCCAACACTTATGGTGGTTTCCGGGTTAAAAGCTGAAGCGGTGTTATCCTACTTTGATTTAATTCTGGATGATATTAGACATTTTTGGATCAGAGTGATCAATTATTATTAAACATTGCTATAGATTACCTAATTGAGTTGCTCATCTGATTGATAGGGCATGCGTTTTTGTACTTAATCGCAGAATTGTCTTTAGGACACCTCGAGCTTATGTTGTATGCCCTTTGGTCAACGATATCATTGAGTAATGAAAGTGACGATTTTTTTCATTTAAAAACATGTTTTTAATTAAACTGGTTTACGTTCAAGATTAGATTAAATCAAATCATACCACACATAAATAGATCAGATTAGACCAGACATCGTCTACTATATATAAAGTACGCATAGAACATACATCTAGCAAACTGGGTCTGATTATTTATGAGTTTCAAAATATCAATGAAACTTTACCAATTTAAAAGTATTTCATAATAATGACGGAGTATTATTTTTATTGTATTAAAAAATAATCCATTGAAAATGTACTTTCAAACTTTGTTGATTTCTGTGGCCTATTGAAGAAACAAGCATTGTAGTATCACATTACTAGAAAGTGGGTTAGCCAGAAATAGCCGACGGGCCAGGGCAAGCGAAGCTACAATGTATATATATACTACCTTCAAAGCCAAATACCAATCCAAACTTAAATTTATTTTAGGGTCTTAAATTTACTTCAGGATCTTATTAATTACTAACAACAGTTCTAAAGCATTACATTAACCATTAACTATTCATGTATTGCCTTAAAACCTCAACTATGCAATGCTCCACTTGAAGGGGTGGAGACAAGGAGGAGCCTGAGGCGGCCTTGGCCCCTGCAAGATTTTATTTTAAATATCTATTATATATAAGTATTTTGAATCTAAAGAAACTATATTGATATTTTAAACGTTGACTCCTACAATGTAAAATTCTCAAAGGTCGACCCCCTTAAGACCATTTGTAGTGGTCAAGAGTCCAAATTGTTAAATTTGGACTTCATCCATATGAAAACAGTGTTTAGACTCCGTCAATATTTTTTTCCCTACATCCGTGCACCGTCAAAAAAATACACTCTGCATATTTTTTTACATATCAATTTATTAAAACACTTATTAAATTATTATAAGTAATGTTTTACTTTTAATTTTTTCCTTGACTAATTATAAAATAAAAAATACACATTTCGATGTAAAGAATTATTTTTTTTTACGTTTTTCGATTAACAAACTGAGTTCAAGCACATTGGAGCATTGGATTCTCTTTTCAAGTTGTGTATCTTATATTTAGTAATATTTCGAAATATTTAATAAGTATCGACTATTAGTTCAAGAAAATTTCAACAATTAAAACTTCAGATTTTTTTTTCATTTTTATATATTACATATTGGTGTCATATGAAATATCATAAAATCTAATGAATTTTGATATATTCTTTGAAATATTTGGAGAACAAATAGAAAACTTATAAGAGTTTAAATTAATTTGGGATTTTAATGATGCTTGTGTGACGTCGAGATGACATGATCCGAATGCATGATCTTAGCTCACTACCGCCTCCCTGCTCTTTTCTTTTTCCTTTTCTTTTCCCATGTCAATCCCGCCATCTACTTTTACATCTCTCCATCCTTTCTTCCACTTTTAATCCCCTTTTACTCCACCACTACGCCAAATTAAGAGTCCCAAATCTTCATTTTTAATCTTGACTCCTAATCTCAAACCACTACAAATGGTCTAATCATAAAGTTGTACTGGACAAATGTATGGAGTATTATCTGATCTACTGCCATAGTATAGACCGATCGATCCTGCATATATGTTACAAATTTAAACCTGGGACTGCACTGATTGTGGTACCAAAGAACAAACAAACCTTAATGGAACGAAAAGAAACCCAATGCCGAACATTAGGCAAATGTTTGCCACCACGGCACCACCTGTGTGTAGTTTACGTAAGTAGCCAATCAATAATGTTTTAAACAAACTTGTGAAAAGACTGGGCAGGCCACACTGACCACATAAGCAAGACAAAAGTATGAAAAATATTGTGAGGACCCAATTTGCAATACCTGAATTAGCAAAAAGCCATTTGGGTGCATTTACTTCAAAGTTCAAAACAGTGTACACACGGACTGACAGAGGGAAACCCCAGATGGATACTCTATTTTTTTCAAGATATATAGGGGTATCATCGGGATTAAGTCTCGACTCTTCAGTTTGAATCCCGACAACTGCGACGAGAGGTTATTATCAGGTATGGATTTAGGAGGGGCGTGAGGGGCGACCGCCCCCTTGGACTTTTAAAATTTTCCATTATATAAGTTATATTTTCATAAAAAATTTCATACTTTAATTAGATATATATTTGTTCGCCCCCCTTAACTTTTAGTTTTCAAAATTAATATATAGCTTTACATAATGTATAACTTAATTGGAGATTTAAAAGAAGAAACGTCTAAAATAATTTACATACTTAAGCAAATAAACAATATGATAGAACAGCTCTGATCATTGTTTAACACTTGAGATATTTATCATATAAAAATTCTTAGTTTTGTAATGTTTAGTTATCTTTATTAGATAATTAGTACTCAATTTTGTAAAATATCAAATGATATTAACTACCAGACACACTAGTTAAATAGTTTTTAGATCATTTGAGGTGAATCCAAAATATAGTTTTTTGTTGACATTAAATTAAACAATTCATTTACTTGTTACGTTCTACAAACTAATTATTGCATAGATAATAAACTTTAACTTATTTTACCATTAATGCAAATATAATATGCATCATATACATAAATTAGCTATATAATATTATTCTAAAAATAATAATGTCATACATACTATTGTAATAATAAGAAGACTCTTCATGACTCACAAACACCCTCTTTGTTAGACAAAAATTGTAATTCAAAAACCAATTCTTTATTCCGATAAAGATTCATGGGGTTAAAAAGGCAAAAGTTATTTAAATAGCATTGGTGAATGTGTACCTTTTAAACTCTTTATCTTCAAATAACTTTCCTTTGGGTTGCTATTTCTTATGATTTAATGTATCAATACTTTTTTAGAGCATTTCAATTATAAAATCAAAGTTATGTTCCTGTCTAAACTTAGAATGTAATAGTTTTAAATGTCGTCGTGTATGTATTAATAAAAAAATTGAATAAAAAATTGCCTCAGAGCCCTATACTAGCAAAAAAAAATCGCCCCGCTACATTAGCGGAAAAAAAATTCTCCGCGCTACACTAGCGAAAAATTTTCACCCCCTACACTCATGAAAAAAATTCGCCCCCTTGACTAGAAATCCTGGATCCATCTCTGGTTATTATGTAAAAATGCATAGGGCCTCCGTATGTATCAGGTGGGTCGGAGTTGCACTCGTTATTTGCCGGATTGTTATTAAAGTTTCATTTATGTCCTCCTAATTAAATGTATGGTCGGTGTTAAGAACCCTCACGAGGAATGAGTGTCATCCTTTTTCTACTTTCTCAATCATATGGTCCATTAACCTCCATCATCAAATGTACAAGAAAAATGCAATCTATGTAAAGTTATATTCTTATTCAATATTCATTAAAATCAAGTAATCTCATTTGAATGTTTGATTTCATGTAGGAACTGTATGTAAGTTTTTATGTTCGTTTAATTTAGTTGATACTTTTGCTTAGTTTAATGTCTAAAAGTATGCATAATGCATGCATGTCTTTCTAGAGTTATATATGTGAAGGATAAATTCAAATGTCAGTGGTTGTTAGTGATTGTCCTTGATTAACACAAGTTAATAAATATTACTACGTACGGTACGATTGATGAGGACACATAAATCCAAAAACACCATCGGAAAATTAAAAATGAAAAATCATTAAAATGAGTGCAACGGTCCAATTTTCACATTTAAAATGCATAACTTTATTATTCTATATTACTAAAATAATTAAAAAATCGGATTTTGAAAATTTACAATTTGACAAATTTAACAATATTTTTTAAAAATAATTTATTAATACATTAATAAATGAACCGTAGTCAAAGTAAAATATGTGAATAATGTAAAATCCAAACGTTGCACTTGTTTAAGAACGGATGAAATATATAATAATTGCCTCCATCCTGCGAGTTTACCTATATCTCGTGCATAAATAACCCACTATACTCGTGAAATAATCCGTCCTTGAAAGTTGAAATAACAATCCTAACCCACCTATAAATGAATTTAAACAAGTTAAACTTCATGTTTCAGCCGGTTTTAACAGTTGTATTCATTTTTCTTACG